TCTCTCTTCTATAGACTATAGCATAACTTCAGTCTAATCCATTACTTCCTCTTCTAATGGCAAACGGCGTAATAGCCATGGGTTTTGTATCCCCCCTCCACCATTCTATCTCCTCCTGTTCAGGTCAATCCCGTTTGATGTTCTGTTCAACCAAAAATGCACACGCCCAGAAGATAAGAACATCCATCGCTTGTATGCACCGAGAAAACCATAAAGAAGCCAGCAGGAGAGTGATTTCTACGTTTGGGTTTTCATTGCTGAGTTTGAGTGCAAACCATGTTGAATCCTTGGCTGCAGGTTAGTTTGCTTTTGAGTCCGAGTTTGTTTTGTATTTGCTTTTGTTTCCTACATTAATTAAATGTAGCATGGAAAACGGCGCAATAGCCATGGGTTTTGTATCCCCTTCCACCATTCTATCTCCTCCTGTTCAGGTCAATCCTGTTTGATGTCCTGTTCAACCAAAAATGCACACGCCCAGAAGATAAGAACATTCATGGCTTGTATGCACTGAGAAAAGCCAAAAGAAGCCAGCAGGAGAGTGATTTCTACGACTAGGTTTTCATTACTGGGTTTGAGTGCAAACCATGTTGAATCCTTGGCTGTAGGTTAGTTTGCTTTTGAGTTCGAGTTTGTTTTGTATTTGATTTTGTTTCCTACATTAATTAAATGTAGCACAATATTGAGATGCTCAAAAAAAGAGCTCAAACTGAGGAATGTTTCATTAGAAAATCTTGTTATCCATTTTTATTGGTAATTATCAAGCTAAAAGGGCACTCTAGTCCTTTCACTCCAAGCCATTAATGCCTGTGCTTGCTAATCATGACTAAAAATCAACACAAGTATTGCTGCATGCTACTCTACAAATCGTAGTGCACCTTGCTTCTAAAATATTCTCTGTTGTCATTTTAACTAACCATTCTGTATATATACAATTCTCTCTTCTATAGACTATAGCATAACTTCAGTCTAATCCATTACTTCCTCTTCAAATGGCAAACGGCGCAATAGCCATGAGTTTTGTATCCCCCTCCACAATTCTATCGCCTCCTGTTCAAGTCAATCTCGTTTGATGTTCTGTTCAACCAAAAATGCACACACCCAGAAGATAAGAACATCCATGGCTTGCATGCACCGAGAAAACCCAAAAGAAGCCAGCAGGAGAGTGATTTCTACGTTTGGGTTTTCATCGCTGAGTTTGAATGCAAACCATGTTGAATCCTTGGCTGGAGGTTAGTTTGCTTTTGAGTCCGAGTTTGTTTTGTATTTGCTTTTGTTTCCTACAATAATTAAATGTAGCATGGAAAACGGCACAATAGCCATGGGTTTTGTATCCCCCCTCCACCATTCTATCTCCTCCTATTCAGGTCAATCTTGTTTGATGTTCTGTTCAACCAAAAATGCACACGCCCAGAAGATAAGAACATCCATGGCTTGTATGCATCGAGAAAAGCCAAAAGAAGCCAGTAGGAGAGTGATTTCTACGACTGGGTTTTCATTGCTGGGTTTGAGTGCAAACCATGTTGAATCCTTGGCTGCAGGTTAGTTTGCTTTTGAGTCCGAGTTTGTTTTGTATTTGATTTTGTTTCATACATTAATTTAATGTAGCACAATATTGAGATACTAAAAAAGAGAGCTCAAACTAAGGAATGCTTCATTAGAAAACCTTGTTATCCATTTTTATTGGTAATTATCAAGCTAAAAGGGCACTCTAGTCCTTTCACTCCAAGCCATTAATGCCCGTGCTTGTTAATCATGATTAAAAATCAACACAAGTGTTGCTGCATGCTACTCTACAAATCGTAGTGCACCTTGCTTCTGAAATATTCTCTGTTGTCATTTTAACTAACCATTCTGTATATATACAATTCTCTCTTCTATAGACTATAGCATAACTTCAGTCTAATCCATTACTTCCTCTTCTAATGGCAAACGGCACAATAGCCATGGGTTTTGTATCCCCCCTCCACCATTCTTTCTCCTCCTGTTTAGTTCAATCCCGTTTGATGTTCTGTTCAAACAAAAATGCACACGCCCAAAAGATAAGAACATCCATGACTTGTATGCACCGAGAAAACCCAAAAGAAGTTAGCAGGAGAGTGATTTCTACGTTTGGGTTTTCATTGCTGAGTTTGAATGCAAACCATGTTGAATCCTTGGCTGCAGGTTAGTTTGCTTTTGAGTCCGAGTTTGTTTTGTATTTGCTTTTGTTTCCTACATTAATTAAATGTAGCATGGAAAACGGCGCAATAGCCATGGGTTTTGTATCCCCCTTCCACCATTCTATCTCCTCCTGTTCAGGTCATTCCTGTTTGATGTTCTGTTCAACCAAAAATGCACACGCCCAGAAGATAAGAACATCCATGGCTTGTATGCACCGAGAAAAGCCAAAAGAAGCCAGCAGGAGAGTGATTTCTACGACTGGGTTTTCATTGCTGGGTTTGAGTGCAAACCATGTTGAATCCTTGGCTGCAGGTTAGTTTGCTTTTGAGTCCGAGTTTGTTTTGTATTTGATTTTGTTTCCTTCATTAATTAAATGTAGCACAATATTGAGATGCTCAAAAAGAGAGCTCAAACTGAGGAATGCTTCATTAGAAAATCTTGTTATCCATTTGAAAAGTGTTATATTGTTCTTGCCCGTAGCTAGTGGCGGAGCCAGCACCGGCGAGATAGTGCGGCCGCCCATGCTGGCTTCACCGAAATTCACAAGTTGGGAGCCGAGGCAGTCGCCATTGTTGCAGGCAACAGAAGACGGGAAGCTTGAAGTGAAAGGGAAGACGATGGGTGTTAGACTTGGGCCTTTTTTTATTTTAATCTTGGGCTTTTTTTGGGCTTTTTTAAATAAGTCAATTACTACTATCCATAGTGATAGAGCCATAGCCCATCGCCCATATGCAACTAGATGACAATTTAGACAAACCAAAGCCTATTCTCTCTCGTCTGCACGGCCCAACATCGAGTGAGTTGGAGTTGTGACTTGGGCCATTTTTTATTTTAATTTTGGGCTTTTTGTTTGGGCTTCTTTTAAATATGTCAATTAATATTATCCATAGTGATAGAGTTATAGCCCATATGCACCCAGATGACCATTTAGACAAACCAAAGCATATTCTCTCTCATCTGCGAAGCCCAACGCCGAATGAGTTGGAGTTGTGACTTGTTTCTTGCCGAGCGATAAATTTTCATTTTTTTTGTTCGCGATCTTGGATTTCTGCATCAGCATAATCACATTCTTCTTGTTCAACCAATTGCACTTCTGCATTATGAAGCCATCATCTATTTCTGCCATCTCAATAGCTTCGTTTCATTCACTTTTTTAAACAGTTTCAATGGGGCAGGGAACCTTCTTTGTCGTCCCTGTTTACATTTTCATGTTCAATAATAGGTCGAACCAAAAGTGAAAAGATAGTGTTGGCAATGTTACATCCTAAAGAAAGTGAGACCACGATTAACATGTTGGTCCAAGACTGTGTTTGTCTAATCTTTTTTACTTATTTTTTGAAAACTTAAATATATTACTTTTTCTTTAGTTATCAATCTGGACTCATGAATAATTGTCATTATCATATGTTTGTCACAAATCCTTCACTAAAAACTTACCAATTGTACTTTAGATTTGGAAATAAAGGCACAAGGCGACGGACAAGGAGCAAAGGTTTGAACGTTGCTAAATATAATCTTGATAATATTATTTTAAGTATTTTATTTTTGTCTAGTTTGATGTGCTAAAATTGATCGTTTTTTTGTGCCCCAGCAATCTCAGAATCCATTTCTTGCATCTGGAATTTTTTTCATAACTCTTCTTGGCGCATTATATGCACGGGCTATCAAGGAAAAGGCTTCCAATGCTGCCATAGAATCGGTAAGCCACGTATCTTTCTATTTTTCTCTACGTAATTAGTTTCGGAATTGTCTTAATAGGAATCGTGCATTATAGCATACATGTATGCCTGTGTGTGTAGATGTTTGCATACAAATAAAACTAATGCATGTGTACGAAAAGAAATGCATAAAGTTGTATGGCTAAAATTACTTTTATTTTCTTAAGAACTATTGTTTCATTTTTGTGGTTATAGATGAAAAATAATTTGAAGAAAAAGGAAGCAGCTATAACTTCATTGGTGGAAAAGTTTGATTTGGAAAAAGAAGTTGCGAATCAGCAACTGCAAAAAGCAAGTGAGAAGAACAAGCGTTTAGCTTACCAGCTGGAGCAATCATGGATTGACATTAAAGAGCTTGATGCACAACTCAACAGTCTTCGAGCCAAAGCAGTGCGCAAGAAGAAGGAACACTGGGAGAAATTGAAGAAAATACTAGAATATGTTGCAATCTCTAGGACGAGAATCAGCTTGATGGGTTCAGAGATCCAAGAGAACGCGGTAAAGCTTCGAAAACTTAACTCCAAGCTTGCTGGAAAAAAAACGGAGTTGGCGAAATTGAGGGATGAAGCTGAGGATCTCGTAAAACAAATGCAGCACTTGAAAGACTTGCGCTTAAAGCTTGAAGCACAAGTCTCTACTATGCAGGCTGAGTTGGTTGAAGCCCGACACGATGCAGAGGTTTTAGCTGGATAGTTAAAGTCGGCAAAAGAGCTTCTCAGGAAAGATCAGACAAGAAGAGAAGAGGAGGAAGAAGGACCAACGGATGTATCTGATGTTTGAAATGATCACACCCCTTCTGATTTAAATTAGTACTAGTTTACTGGTTTCGTGATATAAGATTCCATTTTGTTTAGATCTCTCTTGCTGGGATGTCAGACTGAATCCTGTTCATGGTGATCCTTGACTTTGATATCCATGACTTCTTTTTGTAGATTCACTGACACTGAGTCAAAAATCCATCTCATCCAGCACAGGAACCTCATTATCATTACATGAGATCTTAGTACCAAAATGTTTGCAACTCTTACACTCTCTTGCTGATACTTTCTGTTTTTCTCTAAATTTTACCAAAAATTGTTTCTGTGGTGTTGATAGGAAAAGAGCATAGCCCTCCAGCTCAAGTTCAAGAAACATAAATATTTTGAAATTAGCCATCTTGAGAGTTCAAATATATGTGCATGGCAACACTGCAGCATTCAAGAGTTTCTGTAGTAATTACAAATTCACTAACCATTTGAACATATCATTAAATATGGTATTGTTTACATAGAATAAGTAAACATTACTTGAGATGCGATTATGAGCTCAAAGAAACAAGAAGTTAGTCAACCACATACTCATTACCTTGTACAGATCCAATGAACTATAGGCCCATGACCGAGCTTTGATATATCCTTCGTGGTACTGAGCAGGAACATTTTCTGCACTGGAAATCATGAAACAAATTATAAAACCATTAACATGTCAGCCATAAAAACAAGATAGGCACATTAGTATTTCATCAGTATATCAATTCAATTGAAAAATGATGTTGTAATTACAAGTATTAGCCAGGAATTAATGTGAATTAAGGTCGGTGACAGAGTATAATTGTTGAAAGAGGTCAGCTCACAATTACTTATGAGATTTTTACTCTGATCTTTTTGACAGAGGGAACAAAGACCTTCTTTTTTGTGCTGTATGAAACCGCGCGCATAAATTATTCCACAGGGAAGTTTATTTGATCCCAATTGCATCAAATAAAAAAAAAAATGAAAGGAGGAGGCAACCTAAACTTTTACATGCGCAAATTTTAACAATAGACAATAAGACACGAGGCAAAGAAAGAAGGGGACTGTCAATTAAGGGTGGAGCACGAGATAAAAAGATACTATTATTAGTGCAGCACCTAGGGCATGAATCTACAATAAAGATTTGAATAGTATTCATATTAAGGCTAATAAAATAAGGGCATGAATTTATACAACATTACAAAATCCATAAACAGTTAAAAGAGTTGGGCACTGAGATCAGGTCTAGAAGTTCTGTAAAAAGGACTTTCAGCTTGCTTAACGGCATACAGCTAGCTTGCAGTGCATTTTTTCCTCTTCTTACAAACTTCCCAACTTAACAAACATCTTCCACTAAATCCACACAAGGACAGCAATTGAGCAATATCACAATAAAGTAGCAAATTGTTCATATTACGTAGCCTATAGAGCATGAGCTAACCTGGAGCTAGTTCCTTCTTCCAATGTCTCTACTTAACATAGAATCATAAACTCCTACAGAAGTAAAAACAGCAGGCTTTTAATGGAGGTAGTTTTCCAATAGCGTCCCAAGAGTAAGGACTCCATACAATTCCATGTTCGTCGTGCTTCTTACATGAACTTAGAGCTAATTCAAACTAAGCTGACAAAGAATTCAATCCGGATAATTGATTAAAATAAAAAGACTTGCACCAAACCACCTAACCAAGAAAAGTCATCTATACCAATCGATTAGGAAAATTTCCAACTTTCCCACAGGTTAATTCGCATTCAAGTTTTCAAAAAATCCCAATCTTTTAAACAACCCAAAAACCTAATATGAATACTTGAAATTTCCCATGTCTATTGAAGTTTTTTTGGGGAAAAAAAGGTTTTAAAATTCTTACCCGGATAAAGCAAGGATATGTTTGGCAATACAAGGATCGGTGGAAAGAGAGTTCATTTTGTTGCGTGATTGCTGCTCTTCTTGTAGGGCCAATTCCGTTTGTTTAAACTTCTTCTTCACTTATGCTAACACCGCTTTCTCAACTTGGTCCCAGTAGGTTATAACCCGAAAGGATTGTGTTGGGTTTTTGATACCCAATAAATCTCGGGTTATGATATTAACATAGGTTAATATTATTTCATAAGCATAGGTCGATGAATGAAATAAGTCCAACAATCAAGTCCATGAGCTACACCCGGCCTAATTGTATTCCTTATGGATGGCTTGAATCTTGGCCCGTTTACCCCTTTATTGGCCGAACTTAAAGCCTAACCCTAGAATATATATTTGGCTATAACCCTAGCCACTTTCATATGATGATTGTGTGATTTTGAGAGAAGAACTAGTGAATCCCGGCTGCCCTCCTTTTGTGTGAGAAAAAGGTGTTCAGAAGTGTCCAGAACGCTTGTATAACGTGTGCGATTGGTGGTTCTTTCATAGTATACCTTTGTGGTGTCTTCTCTTAGCCTTTGTGGCAATAAATCATCATCCTTTCTTGTCCTGCATGGGTAAGATTGAATAGCAAGCAAAGTGAATATATTGGTTGTGGTTTGGAGCCGTTTGGATTGGTTGTTGGTAGATAAAGGTACGTTAGACTGAGCCTAAAAAACCACCGTTTGAAGATCCTTTTGAGAGAGCTTCCGCAACAATTGGTATCAGAGCTTCAAGGTGAAGGTTTTGGCTCGTGAAATCTACCAGAAATCGTCAAGAAAATCGACAGAAACGCAGCCAAAATCAGATCGAAGAAGCTGTCCAAAAACTGTTATAATCAGTCTCTATTTTTCGCGTTTTCTGATCAATCCAGAAGGGGTTTGGGAAAACGGAGACCACTGGCATGACATGCAGGAGGAGGCGAACCCTGCAGGCCCGCGCGTGTCAGTCGAAGGCAGAGCGTGTGGTGGCGCGTGAATCCCACGCGCAGAGGGAAGGAGACGCGCGTGAGGGCGTGTGGAGCATTGTTTGGCTACGATCCTTCAGGTAGTTTGTTCCTTATACTATTTCTGACATTTTTCGTGTTGAAAGTTTTCTGTTTCAGGGTACGCAGAAGAATCTGGACAGCGTTGTTCTTCGGGCGTTCGGGACTCAATCGTGATTTTTTGGTTGCTGCAGTTTCCAGAGACTTTAGGATGAATAGTGGTGGTCCTAAAGTGATAGATTCACAACTCTCATAAATTACGGACTCAGATAGGTCCGCTCTGGTATATTGGCTTAACTTAGTTTTAAATTTCAGCATTAGCAGATCATCGTGTAGGGTGATCGTTAGGATTGGGGGTTGTCATTGCTTGACAACCATTGCTTGTGCTAGAAAATTTAGGAATTATTTGCTCTGTTTTTGAAGTTTTGAGTTTTGATTGCAAGTTGGTAGTTGATTTTGTGCTTTACCTGTCATATAGTCACTGTGTGAGACTTGTTGCGTGGAAATTCGAACTTTTGTTTACATACTTTTCGTGTTGCATTGATTTTCCTGTTAGAACACATGGACTTGACCCGTTCGAACATTCCCTTGATCTAAGATCGTGAATCTTACGAAACCCTGGGAATCTAGAACGGTATATATTGCAGCCGTAGGATAACTTTGTGTGACCTATCTGTGCTTTTGGTTGTTCTAGTTTTTTAAAAATGTCTTCACGCTTTGAAGTTGAAATTTTTAATGGGAAAGAGAATTTTTTAATTTGGCAACAAAAGATGAAGGGTATTTTGATCCAACAAAAAGTTTCAACAGCCATAGATGGCAAATTTCTTGCAAATTTAACAAAAGTACAAAAAGAAGAGTATGATGAACTTGCATACACTTCAATTATTTTACACCTGTCTGATACTGTTTTGAAAAAAGTAGGAAAACTGGATTCTACAAAACAACTTTGGGAAAAGTTGGAGGACTTATATTTGCTTAAGTCAACTCCTAATAAATTGTACTTACTTGAACGATTTTTCAGCTTTAAAATGAATCCTTCAAAGGATCTTGATGATAATCTGGATGTCTTTAATAAATTAGTTCAAGACATCGTTAACTGTGATGAAGAGGTATCTGAAACGTATAAGGCTATTATCCTGCTTAATTCCATGCCTGATTCATATAGGGAAGTTAAGAATGTAATTAAGTATGGTAGGGACACCTTAACACCCGAGATTGTCATAGACTCACTTAGGAGTAAGGAGATGGAGATTAAGGCTGAAAAAGAGGATAAGAGGAGTGGCGAGTTACATATGATGAGGAGTAGGATGAAGTTTAAGCAAATGAATTTGGGTAGAACTCAAGACGGTTGTGATTCGAGTAGTGACTCGAGTGATGAGGGTAGTAAGAAGAAGGGTAAGGGACGAGACAAGTCTAGTGGTAGAAGGTGTTATGAGGACTGTCCCAAGAAGAAAGATAAGCTGAAGGGAAAGATGAGAGGTGAGACGAATTTGGTTGAGGGGTCGAGTTATGACTCCAGTGAGGTTTATTGAGTGTAAACCTAGTCACTGCATATGCATCTGTGTGTGATCATTTTCTGCATGTGTGTAATTGTCTAAATTTTGTTGCGTGATTATTTGCTACATCTCAATGTATTTGATATGTGCATTTGCATGAATTTGAGACATTAGGATTACTTGGTGTAATTGCTTACATGCATAGTGGGTTAGGATGTATTAGCAGTGTGTTGTGTGTCTTTTGGTGAGGTGGAGTATAGATGCCTAGTGGTACATGGTGGTTTTGTACCGGGGATGTGGAGTGTGACATATGGATCACGAGTGGAGATGTGATCAAATGTCTAGAATCATTTATCTGGAAAGAGACCTTGATCAGGTGGAGTGTGAGAGAGACACTTCTATCACTTCTGTTAAGTGGAGACCCATTATCCACATAGGTTGGGAGAAGTGATGTGGAGATAAATTATTATCCCGTGGACTTAGGATCTATTGTGACTTGCCAGTTAGACATGAGTTGAGTGATCTGTCTAGTGAGCTTGGTGGACGATGAGAGGAGATATGTGTTCTCCAGGTGTGAGCAACACGGAATGGGATATGATAAGTGTGGTGAGATCTTTTCTTAGGGTCATTTATGCATGTGTTGCATATGTGGTTGACCGTGGTTTGATTGACTGGGTGTTAATCTATGGTTCTATGTGAACGTGTTTCTGAAAAGATCTGTGTGTGTTATCCTATAGTATATCGTCATCGCATATGTATTTGCTCTTGATTGTTTACTGTTAAATATTTGCTTCTACTTGGGTTTTTTTTTACCTTAGCCCCAGTGAATACATAGAGTAGGTATGGTATATGTTTCAAGTTGGAAACACGAGGTAAGGTCTGTGATCCAAGTTTATTGGCTACCTTGATTATGCAAGTGTTAACTGTGTGTTTTGATTGCTTACAGATTTATTGGGCATCAAGGTGAAGATTTGTTGGGTTTTTGATACCCAATAAATCCCGGGTTATGATGTTAACGTAGGTTAATATTATTTCATAGGCATAGGTCAATAAATGAAATAAGTCCAACAAACAAATCCATGAGCTACACCCGGCCCAATTGTATTCCTTATGGATGGCTTGAACTTGGCCCGTTTACCCCTTTATTGGTCCAACTTAAAGCCTAACCCTAGAGTATATATTTGGCTATAACCCTAGCCACTTTCATATGATGATTGTGTGATTTTGAGAGAAGAACTAGTGAATCCCGGCTGCCCTCCTTTTGTGTGAGAAAAAGGTGTCCAGAAGTATCTAGCTTGTATAACGTGTTCAATTGGTGGTTCTTTCATAGTATAGCTTTGTGGTGTCTTCTCTTAGCCTTTGTGGCGATAAATCATCATCCTTTCTTGTCCTGCGTGGGTAAGATTGAATAGCAACCAAAGTGAATCAATTGGTTGTGGTTTGGAGCCGTTTGGATTGGTTGTTGGTAGAGAAAGGTACGTTGGACTGAGCCTGAAAAACCACCATTTGAAGATCCTTTTGAGAGAGCTTCCGCAACAGATAGTCATCTTAAAATACTAATAGGTTTTCAGTATTTAATAGAAAGCATTAAAGTAGCCTCTGTTTGGAAAGAATAATCTATAAATAGATAGAAACGAGTGGTGGATAAGTGGATAGCACTATCTATTCTAAACTTATACCAAACGCAACGTTGGGGTATCAGATAACCAATCTGCCTTTAGGTTTCATATAGTAATTTACCTTTTTTCTCCTCAATGGTCTCAGGAACATCCCCATTGGCAGTTCTCTGAGCAAGGCCCTCTACAATTACTGTCATCCCAATGCCAGGTTCTCCAATGAGGCAGGGGTAATTTTCTGTACGCTGCACCAGAATCTGAGTGACAAGTTCAATTTCTTGCTGCCTTCCAAAAGCAGGGTCCAATTTACCCTAAAACCAAGACATCAAGCTCTCCATGAACATGCAAAAGTTAATGCTTCCAGGCATCAAGAAATACAGTGAGACGATTACCTCCTCAGCTAGCTTGGTTAAATTAGTACCATACTCCTCCAGTGTAGGCATCTTGTTGCCTGAACTTCCACCTCCAACACCAGCACCAACAGCTTCCGAACTCTCGCCTGCCATTCTAATAACCTAATTGCCCAAATGGATCAACATATAGACAGTCAGTTTTAAGGGAATCACCAGAAAGCAAAGAGAAGTAGTGATTCTTGCCTGTCTACGAATATTACTTGGGTCAGCACCTAAGTTCTCTAGAACACGAGCTGCCACGCCTTCATCCTCACGAAGCAATGCCAGAAGCAAGTGTTCTGATCCAATGTAATTTTGACCTATATCAAAAGGCAATAAATTTCAAAGCAAAAGAAATTGATAATAATCGATCCACACAAATAATCACGTGAAAATATGAAGCTAACATAAAAATAGGACCCTTATTTATAAGAGAGAAATAAGATTGGAACAGTAAAACTGTATATTAGAATTAGATGAAGTAAGAGAGCCTATCATGTGCACCAGGAAGCAAAGACACTCTCCAGAAACTAGCACACATTTAAAGAAATCATAAAAAAAGTTGCTTAGCTGGAGAGCTTCCTCCAGCTAGAGTTCTAAAACATGCTTTGCACGAGGAGTAAAAGGTATCTCCACATCAACGAATCCACTACCCTTTCCAATTATTTTCTCCACCTTTAGATGGGTATCTTTCAAATTAATTCCTATTCGCTTGAGAACCTTAGCAGCAACCAATAAGTCCCAACAGAATCTGCTCAGTTCCCACAAAATTATGACCAAGTCGTCTTGACTCCTCTTGTGCAAGTAGAACAGCTTTTATTGCCTTCTGTGTACGGCGCGACAACATGGCTGGTGGTGCAAATCTGCATTTTCTTTGTAGTGTTACAGGGGTGGCACCAGATACCTTCGATTGGAGTCACTGGCCAGTTTGACTTAGCATCATATCTAAGGCATTAGGTTCTCGCAATCTTGAGAAATTCCTGATCCTTAGAGGCATTGTTTTTACACTATACAACATTGTAACTAATCTTTGTGGATTCCCAGATCCCTTCAATTGTACATGCCTTTCCCCAGAAACTATATTAAGGATATTAATTGACAGAACTAAAGCCCCCGCCATGATTTCGTTGATGCAATATATAAGAGTATTAAATATTATTTTTACAGCACTTATATATAGTATTTCAAAGTAACGTGCAATGCATGTTCAACTCTAACTAGTCATTAAAAATACCACTTCTTGTTCGACCAATATGTCCTAAACATACCTTGTAATTTTGAGAAAATATAGAGTAAATTCACTCGACTTGCCAAAACTTGATACAAAGTTGTTAATTGGCAATATTAATCAACGTTCCCAAAATTCCATCTAGTCAGAAAAAAAAAAGGAAAGAAAAAAGTGCTTACTATTAATGCAAAATTATGATCAAATATGGTAACATTCCATTCCTACCAAAAACAATTCGCAGAAAACCCGTTCCCTTATCCTTAAAGGATTAGACATGCAAAAATCTTTTCCTATATATAACTTGAAGCACCACCTCTAGATTTTTCCAAGCAAATAGAAAACCAAATTTCTTTGAGATCGAGGTGAATTTTGAATTTTTGCAGTTATCGACCGTATTATTCAAAATTTTAGGTACGTATATAATATTTCCTAATCTTCTCTATATGATTCGAATTTTGTATTCTTGCATGCATACGAGGTTTATGTTTCATTCGTTATGTTTAATATATTCTGGCATATTTGTTTCTGTGTGCTTGTAATAGATATATTGAGAGAAGATGCCTGTTCGTAAAATTTATTATTCTTTGTGTGTTTTGCGATTAATTGATGGGTTTACATTGTGTTCAAAAATTAAGGTTTCTTGAGTATATAACCTTGTTCTGATCAACTTACTGATCTTAAGATTCCTGACTGCATAGATTCGAGCAGAAGAGAATTACTAAATTGGACAGACCGAATGAACATTATAGAAGGAGTTGCTCAAATACTACTCTACGTCCACAAGTATTCAAGGTTGATGGTGATTCATTGAGATTTGACAGCCAGCAACGTCTTGCTTGATCACAACATGAATCCAAAAATATCAGATTTTGGATTGGCTAGAATTTTTGCAGTGCAACAAACTGAAGCAAACACCAAAAAAAACGTCGGAACTTAGTAAGTAAACAATATTAATTGATAAACATGTACATATTAACAATATGCAAGTATCCCCCTAAGTATATGTATTCGTTGTTTCAGCGGATACATGTCTCTTGGGTACGCCATGAAAGGCATCGTGTCAATGAAGTCCGATGTATTTAGTTTTGGAGTTTTACTTCTTGAAATTGTGAGTGGCAAGAGAAATCATAGCTGCTACCCAACGAAGCACCCGTTCAACCTCGCAGGATTGTGAGTCCCTCTTTATTATATATAGATACTTAAACTATATAGATGCTTAAACTATCTTTTCTTTTCTTCTTTAAATCAACTCTTTGCATGACAACTTGTCCTATCTCAGGGATGGGAGCTTTGGATGGAAAAAAGAGTTCTAGAGGTAATGGATTCAAGATTGGATGTTTCGAGCTCGAAGGATAATATTGTCAGATGTATTAATGTAGGTCTGTTATGCATTCAAGACCAAGCCAATGACAGGCCCTCCATGATAGATGTGGTTTCTATGCTGACAAACGATAGTGTGCATGAGCCGGTACCAAAACAACAAGCATTCTTCATTGAGAGCGGTGCACGAGAAGGGGAATGTGAAACCAGCTTAGCACCTAATTGTACCAATGTACAGTTAATTACAGTGATGGAAGCTAGATAATACCACATTTTATAGAAGATTATGGTTCACTACAAGAGATGAGATTTTGAATTGTCTTCTTTAATCCCTTCCATCATTCTCCAGTCTTGCTTACCAAATATTAAACAATATCACTTTTCGTACCAATACCTGATAGGGGTAAAGAGCATATTGTCTAAAATAAGAAGATTTTAGCTTATGTTTTATTCTTAATTACTATCTGGTATCATACGGTACAATAGACCTTACGAACAAGTCAACTCAGGTCTGTATATGGATGTTATAGTACTGTGGCTACTAATTCTTTATTCTCAAGAAGCTTAGCAGGCTTTGATTGCATTGCTCAGTTTATTTTGTTAATAACAGATTTTGGCAGTTAAATATCTACTGTGTCAATGTCTGTTATTAGTTAATTGATATCTCAATACCTTCAAGTAATAGTCTATTAAAGAATGTATAAAGGATGGGGGGGGGGGTTGTGAAAAATCTGGTGTTCACAAGGAAGATTAACAGACTCTTGAGTGTGTAATATTCTTGTTTTCATCATTTGAATAGAACCAGTGTCCGTGCCATTTTTCTGAAGAAGAAGCAAGGACTATTCTTGAATGATGCTTGGAACTTCAAGGTAGCTTTTTTGTTCTAGTTAGTATTCGTCATAATGGATTCCGTACCGTTAATTCTGTGTCAACGGTCACGTCGTTCGAAATAATGGGGCACAAATTTTAAGTCCATCATGACCCTTGTTTGAGCACCATTTCAAGAGAAAGAATGCATTTTTAAATAGTCATTGATGGAGAATGTGTGGTTAAAAATTAAAGAAAAGTTTTGGGTTTGCGCGTAATATTATTTTATTGAAGAATGTGTTGTTGAAAATGAGTTTTGAAAAAATAATTTTTTTAGAAGAATGGAGCTCAAAAAAGGGCCAAAATCTCGGGTGGTGGAAACTACCAAGATGGATGAAAAGGGTTGATGTTGGAGTATTATCCCCAAACCACATAAATTTGTGCTGTTCTTGAAATTGTTTCATTAATCAGAGCTTGCCAAACTTCTTGCACTGCTGTGTAATTTAGTCGAGTAGAATGTTTGAATGTGTTTAAAAGTTATTTTTTTAGCAAACATTAATAAAGATATAATTTTAAAATTCAGTTTGAGGAATAAATAAATTTCAATTGATTTTAAATGGTGAAACGTTCTAAATTATGGGGAAGCCAATCTTCCACTTTATGATCAGACCGTGTGGGTGGCCAACCGAAACAATCCGATTGCTGATGCATCGGGGAGTCTTTTAATTGACACTGATGGAAAGTTGAAGGTTAATTCCAGAGGAGCCAGTGTTTTTAATTCAGTCCCAGTAACCATTATTAATGCAAGTGCTACACTGCTAGATAATGGCAATTTTGTTCTGAGAGAACTGAACCCGGATGGTTCTGTAAACCAAACCGTGTGGCAAAGCTTTGATTATCCGACGGACACGATTCTACCTGGAATAAGGATGGGTATCAATTTCAAAATAGGGTATCAGTGGTCGCTTACTGGTTGAATAAGCAAAGAAGTACCATCATCAGGATCATTTACCATTTGTGGATACCCAAATGGCAGAAACCAATTGATAATATGGTATGAGGGAAATGTGTATGGAACTACTGGCATTTGGGGCAACGAACGTTTCGCTAACCTTGCCAAATTACTTGATGGCGACTTCACTTTCATTTCAAATGAGAATGAAAAATACCTTACGTATTCAGTAAATGAGAATATATCTTTCTTATATTACAAAATAGATCCATCTGGTATTGTGATGGGAATAGTGTTAGAATCCTTTGGTGTTTATTCTTTCTTGAATCTGGATGAAGGATGTGTGAAAAAGACATTGCCCGATTGTAGAGCCTGGTTATTGGTTTGAGAGTAGGGTGGGTTACATGCTTGGTGATGGTTACAGATTTGGTGAAAGCGCATTTTTTGAGTGTCAGGACAAGTGTGAGCAGAATTGTTCATGTAATGCTTACGCTTCTCACACCACCCAATATGGAACTGGTTGTGAGATTTGGAAAGAAACGAATTTCTACGCATCTGGGTATGCAGATAGGGAGATTTTTATACTTAAAAGAGATGCAGACAGGTTAGATAGTAAATTTTATTCTTTTTATCTTCTTTAGTACAAAATGAACTAATTATAAAGGTTGAACCCCAACCTTAAGGGTCCCCCACCGCCCCTGCCCTGGAGTATCGTGAGGGAGGTAAATCGCAGGTTATGCCTCCAAGGGTACAGGGTGGAAGGTTGCTTGTACACTTGTACTTACCCAAGAGCCAAATTCATATTTCAAGATTCGAA